GACATTTCTATATGGAAATTCACACAGTGCATCTTGCAGTAAATAGAGCTAAAGCCATGCAAAGAAATGTGACCAGGTGCAAATGCAGTGGATTGGTAAAATATAAGAAGAAAAAAATAACAGGGTCAAGACCACAATACTGATTGAACGAATGACATGCAGCAGTCAGTCAGGAGGCGATTCTAACTAAGAGTAAATGGGGTGGTGATCACACACCATTTTGAATGTGCTAAATGCTGCTGGGTGGTTCGCTTTCTTTTGCATAACTTTGGTTATGCAAATTTCACCTCAACAATTCCTTGTTTTAAAAAGAGAAAACAAGGTTCAAGAAATAACTGCAACCCATAACTTACTAAGATGACTGTTCTCTATCTTATAAATATTTGTGTGACATGTGCTTGCCATGTAAATGCCTGCCCTTGTCCTGGCCCAGCTTAGCTCTTAGTTCTCCCAGCTGAGTTGCTGCACTTCAGAGATTCACACTCCTGCCCATCTGCCTGCCCCCAATGGGGCCTACTCACCCGAGCTCCTCAGCTTGTCTGAGCTTCTCTGCCAGCTTCTCCGTGAATTGCTGTTCATCCCTCAGCACAGAGTCTATGATGTCCTTGTACTCTTCGCATTCTGAGAAAAGACAGACATGCCTGCCTCAGTGCAAGGCTGGACATGCAGCTGGGGTCACTGCCTACAGGGCAGGTGGCAGCATCCATCCAAAAGATGAAAGCAGCCCCAGTACCAGGCTCTAGGCAGGCATTTCCACATTTTTATTTATCAGCCTCTTAACTTTCTGGCATCTGATACTCCCCAAGATAGAGATGGGGAGAAAGAAACTCAAGGGCACATGAAGTAACTTGACAAGATGATTCACCTGGAACAAGGCAGAGTCAGAATTCACAGCCCCTGAGGTCTGACTCTGAATCTTGGGACACTTCCCCAAGTCTTGCAGCCGTTCCTGTAAAACACTGCGCTGGGGCATGAAGTAATGATATCCTGCACAGTCGGAAAGACCCTTAGCACTATGGGACTCATGGTTTCCCTGGTACTGGAAATTTCAAGCACAAGTATGTCAAATATGTAAAATATCATATCTGAATATAATTGCATAAAATATGAGGCATAACACCCAAAGGCTATAATAGAAATATGCCCAAATACTAATAAACTTTGAATTAAGTTAGACACAGTAGAATGAAGAACTAATAGAGAGTGTTTTCTCTGTGCCAAGAACTGTTCTAGAAGATTTAGAAGAAATGGATCATGTAAGTCATTGCACCACTTTTCTGGGGTACGTGTTATTATAGTACCCAGTGAACAGATGAGGAAACGTAGGCACTGAGAAGATAGGCAACTTGGATGGAGCCCAGGAGCCCAGGGTCCCTGCTCTGCACACTACACTGCTACCTCCACAATTTCTTATGTGCCAGCTTTCTTCCTCTTTAGGAATAAAAGCCTGTGCCCCAGGAAGCAGGACTTCCCTCTCACCATGGTACTCCCTGCTCTTGATGCTGTCACTTATGGCTGCCGCAGTTACTATTAGGAGCAATCTCCTCTTGAAACTCCTTAGAGCGGGTGCTGTTTATTGTCACTATGTTTCCCCCAGGGTGCCCAGAATAGAGCTTTGCCTAATGGGCCTCAAAGAAGTTTGAACTGAATGGAAGTTCATTAGTCCCAGACGTTTAGACCAACAGACTAGATGTTACCTGTCTGCAGCATCTTACATGGTACAGAGAGGATTCTCATAAACATGATTTAGCCTCTTGCTGAGAAGAACAGGTGGTTCTGTTGCCTGTGTCAGCAGTCAATATGATGGATTTTAATTCTACTCTCACCTCACACCAGACTGCAAATGTGGAAAAGTTGCTAAATACTTTGTGCCTCTGTTTTCTATTCTTAACACCATGAAGTTAAAAAATCCATTTCTATTTTCCTAGAGGTATGGGAAGGATGACATTAATTTTGATGAAGAGACCGTTCAGTTTCTCAGAGGCCACAGGTGGTCATTCATCACTTTTGTGATGGTGAATCTATAGATAGAACTTACTGTATTTCTTTAGCTGGTTGGCCAGGGAGTAGGTAGTAGCTTGAGTTATAAGGAATTTCTCTTTGAGGTCTCGGAACTGCTGATTGCTCTCTGCCAGCTGGGTACGCAATTCCTTGTTGATTTCTAGGATGTTCATCTCTGCCCTCTTGCCGGACAAAGGGTCGGCAGATACCACCATGCTGACGTTTGTGGCAGAAAAGGTAGCGCCAGGGACTGGGGGGAAGAAACCCAAACACATGATGTGTCAAAAACTAGTGAAATCAGTTAGGTTTCATCAGGACTGAGCGATGATAATAACTGGAATTGTTAACTTACAGTTGAGAGAAACTTGATCAACACCCACAACACTTTAGAGTCCTTAACCGCAAAAACAGGGTCCAGGATGCCTGAGCTCAGAGCTGAATGCACTGCCTATAGCTCCGACTCTGACAAGAGTGAGGGAGGTAGCAGCCAGCGTGCCAGGTAACGGTCTGCATTTGCAATAACAGAATTCGAAGGTGGGGGTGTCATGGAATCTTAGGAGCCCTGCATTCCAATTGCCCAGGATGTGCTGAAACACTAGGGCCCTGGTCTCACCTGATGGTCACTGATGGGGACCATTTCTTCAGCAGTCACTCTCAGTGTTAGTGCACCCTTGTGACAATGCTATAGGCCCACCTCTTTCCCAATACATCTAAGCATATTCCTCATTGCTCATCCCTTGTGTGTATAAAATCGTCAAGGTAGAGGTAGTTTCCCAAAAGCTTGTATTTTCTTAGTGGTAGTCACAAAATCAGTCCACCTTCTCTAAGTTGAATCAGATCCTAAGGCTTTTCCACATGTGAAAGATATCAGAGTTTTAGACTGTGATATCCCCTGGGTCTTCTGCATTTTTTTCTGTAGCTACTGAAAAGTGAATGAATAATTCATTTTTAAAAATATTTTCTCTCCTGGATCATTATTCCTCTTGCTGCATCCCATTGTTATGTTGATTTCTTTTCTCTTACTGGGGCAGCATCTTGGCTTTTTATTACACTTAAGACCAGTTTCACATCCCTGTGTCCATAGCTCTTCCTCTATGTGTAGGTTGATTTGTTTTTTAGTGTCACTGAACACTCGTTTCATACTTGTCACTTACAAATATCATTCTGGTCCCACAAGAGCTCTTTTCAAGGTATTAAGTGATCAAAATCATTTGTACATATCCCCTGAAAACATGTATGACCATGTATCTTGGGAAATCTTGTAAACCTGAGGCTATTTTGTTGTTTTTGGTTTTCCCATATATTGAAAAGAACACGGCCTTGAATGCTTCTCAGAGAATATTATTGGATATATACATATGTATATATTGAGTTGCTCTAACACCGTTGATGTGTGGTTGCATTCCAGTAACAGAACCTGGCAAGATCAAGCTCACTATCAGGTGTGGTTGGTGATCCTCCGTGTTCCTGTGCAGCAGAAGGTGAGTTTGAGATGAGAGGGACGAGTAGGGGAGCGTGCTCCCCCGAACCACCTCCTCACTTTCTCAGCTTCCATCCTCAACTAGGTTTTTTGAGGCTAGGACTTGGGAATTTGTCCTGTAGCCCAGATCTCCTAAGTGTGGCTGCTGGACTTGCCTGAGTTGAGGGCGTGATGAGTGTGACCATGGGCTACCCAACATTCATGTGGAAGTGAAGGGAGGAGGACTGGATCAATCCCATTGGAAAGCATTCCTCGTAGCAGCCCGCACCATCCTCCAACTACACTGTGTAATGACAGTGGTTTGAGATGTATTAAAGGCTATAAATTTATCTATTCTCTGGTGTCTCAGAGACTTGACATTCTGTGTCAGAGTGAAAATCTGTCTAGTTTCTTCATTTTAAAAATGATGAAACTGCAGGTTCACAACGTTACATGGTTTACTTGAGGTCATACAGGGATGAATTTTGAGCACTGCCAAAAAAAGGAATCACAAAAGCTATTCAGTAATTATTTATAGAATTCATGTAATTCAGTAGTCACAAAATTTTTTATTGACCAGTTCATACTAGGCATTTTGTTCAAAACTGTACACATACTTGGTTATCATATTTTCATCATAATCCTTAAGGCAATGTTATTTTCCGTAAGACACAGGTAAGAAACCTGAAGAAGAGGGATAGCAAATCATGTATTTGGCCGTATTCCTATTTTTTGGT